CCGAAACAAATTTGGTTGTGCTGATTTTCGCGAAGGCTAGGAAGCCGACATAACGATTTCAATGTTGAAAATGAAAACCAAAAGAATGGTGGAGAATCCGGGTATCGATCCCGGTACCTCTCACATGCTAAGCGAGCGCTCTACCACTTGAGCTAATTCCCCTACGATATACCATGAAAATACTGATGTTATGTTTGGCAGTTATTTCCATGATGGACTTGCCTTGTAACACTTTTATTTTTATTTTTTCTATGTCATACACAATAACTCTAACACTGGGAGTAAAAACGAAATATGAACTCCTGTAAAAACAAAAAACGTGGATTTGTTGTTCCGCGAAATGTTATTTGTATATAAAAGACACGACGAAAGTCGAGTCCGCTGATCTAGAAAATGATAGTAATGCGAAGTATTATAGCTAACCATGTTTTAATATAATTAAAAATAATACAACTCGATTCTACATTCAATAATAAACACATTTGTGACGTTCTTTCATTGATAGGAAATATATTGTAACACGAAAAAATGATATTGTTTTTACATATTCACCTTAAGAAACCATAATTGTCCTTCAAGTGTGTCGTGAAGGTATGAATGCATGCCTATGTCATCAATTTTTACTGTTTAAAACAGATACTTTCCCCTGCTAGATTAAATCATTATTTAAATTATATGACCATGTCCCAGTCATCACCATACATATCGGTGAGTTGTTTATCTATCGTTAGGATTGGTTACTGACTATCCTCGTATAGTGTAGTAAAGATATCGCTGAAATATGATATGTAGTCCTTAAAAATATTCAGGTTTATATTCTCAATTTCATGGAAATTACGTCTATCCCAATTCTGAGACGAAAATAAATAAAACAAGATGTGTTTATGAAACACTATGACTCGTGTTGCATCAAGATTCTGAAGTGGGACATTAAAAGTGCATGGTGTAAAGCATGTGTTAGTTACATTCACACTTTGTGAAACACTTCTGTCTTTATTGTGATATAGATTGTTTTACTTTCAAATGTAGGTCAATGACACGGTCAGGGCCACATGGTGATACCACCTGAAAGGTCTAGTCACAAGGAACAAACATGCCATTTCTCTGACGGTGCAAAGCTGGCGGTACAAAAATAAATTTGGTGGAGAATCCGGGTATCGATCCCGGTACCTCTCACATGCTAAGCGAGCGCTCTACCACTTGAGCTAATTCCCCAGTGTTGTGTATTATCTGACATATGTTGTTGTTGTCTGAAATACTGATAAACTGTTATCATTGTTCATTCTGCTAATCATTGTAAACAACAAATTTATAACAACAATGTTAAGGTTCCTTATCTTGAAATAAGAAACAGTGATGATACAATACAACTGAATAATTAATTCTAAAAAAAACATCAATACAAAATCTTACAATACGTAATAGGATGTTAACAATGTTATTATTTATAACCAACAAATATCGTGTGTCGTATTTCAGCATTATTGGAATAATGACTTTTTGATTGAAAAAAACGTCAAGGTCACAGAGGTCAAATGTGTTAAAACCTTTAAACGACTTCTTCCAAAATACCGGATGGCCTAGAATCATTAAATTTGGCTGGATAGTTCCTTTGATGAAGCCCAACAAAGTTTGCTAAAAGAAATAACCTTGACCAATCTTCAAGGTCACAGGAGTCAAATGTGTTAAAACGTTTAAACAATTTCTTCTGAAATATCGAAAAGCCTAGAATCATTATATTGGCCAGTATGTTCCTTTTATGAAGTCCAAGAAACACACTTTGTTGTGTGTGTATATGTCGTTTGTCTGGGTTTATGAATTCAGTATAATTTTGTTTCTGTGTAGAGGGCGTTTGTCTGGGTTTGTGAATTAAGTATCACTTGTTTTGTGTGTATATGTCGTTTGTCTGGATTTATGAATTCAGTATAATTTTGTTTCTGTGTAGAGGGCGTTATAAACCTTTGTACATCGCCATCTCCAAGAATTACATCTGATGATGCTAAAATTTTAACAAAGTATACACCTAACGGCACTGATTACAGGTAAAAGATGATTACGACAAACGCGATACCTGTCACTTAAATCATAATATACCAGCTGAGATTGAATACATATTTTACAGGACAGTTACAGCACCTGGAGCCGTGGCTGTAAGAATGTGATTCTGGATGATATTAGAAGTCATTCACCGACCTAACGAGTATAAACTCACATTTTGGAATTTTAAAACTTAATCGTATTTAATATTTCCTTAATGTGCAACAACGTAGAACATCGAATCGATGTGTTACAGCTTACATTGTACATTTATAAAAATACGCAAATAGCAAGTTTTGTGTATTTATATTTTTTAATATGAAAACATGTAAAAATGATTTATAAAAACACTTTCAAGAGCGTTGACGTAAATAACATCCAGTGAAATACTGAAGGGAGTGATTCGAAACTCACCACAGGCCTGTGATGGTTTGTGTTTCTTAGAAAGTCGCTAACGTACCTGTCTGTGCTGATGCGGTTGTGACCTTAAACAAGACACTACCGATATTGGTATGGCTGACATGTGACGGATCTTCCATATGTTGTTCGGTGATGTATTCACCACTTACTACACGGAGTCCCCGCCGTATTACTCTGGTTGTTCACAGGGCTTTAGATACAGAAAACAGACAAAAAAGCAATACAGGATTAATGACTAATTACACGTCGTGTTGTGGTTATGTCGTGTTGACTGTATTTTCAGATTCAGACTTATAAAAAATCAGGTCTTCATTTTTCAGGGTTAACTTTAAAACATCTTCCGATTGATATCGTAAATATGTCATTTGATAATTTGTTTCAAATTTCTTGTAATATTCAAGTCATTATCATTCAACCATTTTGTATAGTTATTTTTTTTTAATACAGACACATCTTCGGGGAAACACAGACTTCGTATTTCACACGTTGCCCAGAGTCGATGTAGTATACCTCATTTATATCGTACATGTAGTAATTATAACAGAATGATAAAAACATGTCATCGTATTGTTTAAATGGTGACATTGCACAACAAAAAGATGGAGAATCCGGGTATCGATCCCGGTACCTCTCACATGCTAAGCGAGCGCTCTACCACTTGAGCTAATTCCCCTACACTCAGAATGTGTGTTCGCCAGTGATAACACTGACATGGTCTTCGTGTTCTGTAAACGTACTTTATTAGAGTATTTTGTGAAATACTGCACCATTTCATGTATTTGAATGTTCTATTTTATACACTTTCTGAGACAACTGTTTCAGTGATGTCGTCTTTGACATCATATCATACACAATAACTATAACAAAGCGGTTTCGAGTTTGGCGGGAAATCCTTATTCATAGTGTGGTGTTAAATTTATGTTGGAGTTAGCTCCCTTATATCACTTCTCTCTCGCTCTGGTTATTCCGGTGACGTCAACAGGTGTGAATCAAGGTGTTTCCCATAAAGAAAGGTGAAGGACGAACTAAGACGAGAATATAAACAGGTTCAAGTTTGAATAAGATTTCCAATGTAGGCTTCATATTACAAATTTGACTTTATTTAAACTGCTGATATAACTGGAAGTTCAGGTGTGTGTGAAGACGTGATACCAAAGGTAAGATAAATTCGGTTTCAGACTAATGGTTTAGAACCGATCCTAGTTGACGTGATTCGTGTTGTTTGTGGTACAACAGTTGAAAAGTATTGTGTGTCAATTTGACAAGCCATCAAAAACATGAGTTTATTACTTTGATTATAAAACTCTTCCTTACCTTTGAGGTGAAACATATATTCGTTTTAACTGAGAACCGTTAGAATAGTAACATTTGAACATGTAGATATAGCTAAGGTTTTTGAATGACGTACTAATGTAGCATTCAGTGATACTGTTCAATATATGTTAGTCATGTTTGTCAAGTCGTTGATGAGATAAAAATACACATATAGTACCATGATGTCATTCTCATTATTGCATGTGGTTCTACAAAAAAATAATATGACGTAGTTAAGTCCTAATTTTAGGCCCCGCAGGCAATACACATACTATACTGTCCCCAGTAAGTAATAAGTGACTACCGGATGTCACGGTCTATAGCACCACGCACCATTAGTCGCGGGATTCAATTTCTGTACAGTATACGTACGCTTTAGATGTGTTAATAGTGTTTTATTTATAGTGTTCAATTACACGTGCTTTATATTTAGAGGGGAAATAGATCGAACAAACCATACTGCTACAATTCCTATCTTATTGTGAACCAAATACCCTAAAAGGAAATCGAACCCGGATCTCCAGCGTGAAGAAGCGTGTTCCCACAGTGACAGAGTCACATACACATCGACCTACATGTACTTCGTTTACACCAATAACAGTGTATGAGCTGACATCATTTAAAGATTACCATTCTATTTTGTTCAGGTCATCGGAGGATAACTGAAAATTGAAATCAGGTTAAAACAATTATCCGAGTTCAGCTTTGCTTCAGTTATCCTCTTATAACCTAAAACGAATTAGTAAGTTAAACTGTAATTTACAGTGTTTCCTCATCATTGTAATGTTGTGTCGTTTTCATTAATTCCTAACAGCAAATATATCTAGATAAAGAGCACTTTCTGTAAACTACTGTCTTGGAATAGCTGAGGCTATTGTTTCAACCTGACTTACACCACAGCAACAAAACCAGCATCACACTTTAAAGATGTCATACAGTTATGTGTCATTTACTTAGCAAGAAATTCAAAACTTTACATTGCGGAGACCTCGTACAACAAAATCTATTTCAATAATTTCATAAAGTAGAGACCCGTTTGTGTATATTTATAAAGACTGGGTATATCTTAGTATTGTGGGATACCAGCCTAAACGTAATCATTATAACTTGATAAATTATATAATAAAAGTTGATTAGCAACAGATGTAAATTCACTTGTCATAGAAATTGTCTTTTTGCGTTTCTTATCTTAATTTCCATTAAAACCTGTTTAAGACAACAACGAGACGATGTCGACGACCCAGCCCCCGACCGGTTCACAGGGCGTGGCCACTATCGACCACGAAGAAGTTCACGTCAATCTAGATAAAAAAACAAACAGTGGAGACGGCCAACAAGTTGTCACCAGTCAGCCAACAGTGGCATACAACAACAACCAGGATGGGGGACCTCCCATTGTATTTCAGGGGCCCCCTGATGCCAAAGACAAGCCGAAAGACTTCGTAATGACGTCATGTGCTGTGCTACTCTTCTGTAACTTTATTTTTGGTTTCCTTGGTTACCATTTCGGAGGTAAGGATTTATATACTATATCTTATCATTGCAGTTTGCTAATTATTGGCAAAAGTAGACGATTTAAACGCCATCTGGTAAAATTTCATCACACTTGGTTTAATTTGATGTACCAAGAATTTATTTCTAGTTGTCAGTGTTTACACACATTCATTAATTTGTAATATGTTAAAGCTTCCGAAAAATATAACTTGATGTCATTAATTCTAGTTGAAAATGTGGCTTTATGAACACATGATGTCCATAAATGGTTTACCCCTATTACAATAGGTATGTCGATATTCTCAAATCAATCCTTAAAATAATCGTCATCAGATAAGTTAGCATGTTGTAATAGTGTAACATCGACTTAATGTTTGATTCCTAGGACATCCTTACCTTGCATTCAAAATACACAGAATTTATGTGTGGAATCTCGATATTTTCTCACATGAGATAATTTCATAGAATGATTCATGACTCATCAATTTTGAAAAATCTTCATATCAGAAGACAAAATGGATTAAAATATTGTCAGTTAATAGAACAGAGCAACCATCTTATCGAAGTTTTACCTAATTAAGACAGATACTTGCTTGTTACGACTGTTTCCTACAGAAATGACGCCGTGTTAACTTACACAACTTTTCCGAAAAACAAAAACAATCGTCGGTGTCTTCTAGAGAGAAAGAGAGAGAGAGAGAGAGAGATTTATAACATCTTGGTGGAATTGTGTCACGTGACATTTCTTCAGTGACACGTGGATTGCTTGTTTATTTATGATGACCTTTGTAACTAACGAAACAGACGGTGTACACGTGGTGTTTCCTTCTACACGGAGAAAAGGACTTAAGATTTTACTTAATACCTGACAAAGGTTTAGAATTCGTCGATCTCGGTATCAACTAATTGACTGACTGTTACAAACCTACATTAAGCAGTATGTGATATGGACGGAAATATAATGAATTCTGTCGGTTTCAGTGAAAGCGAACCATGCTTGGCAGCTTGGAGACGAAGCGACGTCACGCCATCATGCCAAGAAAGCTCTCATCTTTGTAATATGTGGCGTGGTGTGTGGAGTATGTACATATGTCCTGGCCATCACCCTCTACCTCACCCTGAACAAAAGTAACTTTGTCTGAGGATCGACAACCTGGTATCGTAGTCCTGGATATGACAGATTTCCTCACCACAATATTTCTATTCAGCCATGTGCCGTTCATCGATTGTTAAAATGAGCAAGATCATGCGTGTCTTCGACATGTTGGTGAAACCTTGGATTTCTGTCGTAAAATCTCACTTAAAAAGAGCATTATGTGGTAAAATGCAGTTATGATGTCACCTCTGTCCCGTCCTCATTGTATTCTCTGTCAGTATTACACTGGTTTTGGAATTGTAACACCATGCGAAGCGACGTTATCCTTTTGATATATAGATTTCGTGAATTGGTGACGTCATATTTGACGTCACACATTCTTATTCCTTTTCTAGTCTCACGATTTTTTTGATAACCATCACCACCTCGTTAAGTTTCTCCTTAATCTAAGATCTGTTGTGATATCGACATCGTTAGAGGGCCTGTAAACATGTGTGTCTGTCACGCTGGTGTATTCTATGCGAATTCTACTGCAGCTTCTGCTGTTTAACCCAAGTAAGCGTTAGATAAACAAGGATTGATGGTTTAGCGATAGTCAGCTGTTTTACACTTATTTTCGACGCATTATGTTGTTTTTCCAAACAGATAAGAATAAACTGTCAACTACATAATGACGGACTCACGCCTCATTAACAGATTACTTCTAAACAATGACTCACCAACATGTATTTTCTAGACGACTTGGATCAGATTAAGGTGTCTTGGTTTATTTTTTTTGACTGCTGTCATTTCCGTGAGTTGTTTTTTAAACATGACTGCTCGGGTCCCGAATTTCAGTTGTCACGGCGGACAGGTGATGAAATAACATAATACCAAATGAAATTATGTTTCAGGAACATATACAAAAATGTCTTGCGCTAATTCATATTTTTACACGTAAATGTGATTTATAATTTTTCGTTCAATTTTTCATATTTTTTTTCAATTTTAGCTCGCAAAGGCGTTCTGATAAAACAAAACAGAATTAATAGTGAGATTTGTATACAGATGATGTGATGTCTTTGTTAGTCAAACCCTTGTAAGCCAAGGGAGCATTACCTAATCGGTTATTTGATTGGTTGGTTGATTGGGTTGGGCTGGTTAGTTGGTTGGTTGATATAAATCCACGTGACCAGTCGGAGTAATTCTGAGGCGATGTCTATTTGACTAATATACCTTTTACATGCCGGACAGACACAGTACGTACACTGAACCAATTTATCATTTGAATCTATACAGTTCGTGGTAGATTTTACTAGATATTTCCACGGGTTTACTGGATGTTTACAAGCATCTACAGGCTAGTGAAAGATACTTCAAACATCAGGACATTTTTTGCTATGTTGTAGCTACACCCAGTTACGTTAACACAAGTCGCTGTGTGCGTGGTTTTATGATCTAATTATGCTGTTTATTTGTGGTTTGTGGGAAACAATTACGGTATTATATATCATATGATGACAAACTATGCAAACATTATAGTGTTTTATATAAGTACTGTATCTTAGATAAGATATCTGTGTTATGAAATAATTGTGGTGGACGTCTCCACTTTATTTCTTGTTACGAGTTCACGCCTAGTTCTACTAGGATTTCGTGTGTGCTGAGGCCGAAATTTACGAAGTTTAGTTAAATGTATCACGTGATCCTCGAATACAACTACTAATGTGAATGGCAAGCTGTTCAGCCTGAGTCAGGCACCTGCTGGGCACGGGCTACATAACCTGATGATATGTTACATTTTATGAATTTGATTCAGCGCCTTAACTGAGCTATGATCAAATTGTTTTGTTATTATCTCTACTGTCCCTAATATCTGTCTCCTTGCAGGATTTTTCCATGGAAACTATATAAGTTCGTCAAATGACGGATGAAAGGAATACATGTTTAAAGAAAATTCAACGAATGCGTAATATTGAATGTTATCTAGATATGTACTGAGATCTATCTATGATTGAGGGAATAAGGAGTTGCATTCTTTAGGAGTTTAGAGGGAGTTGATAGGAATTATGGAGTTGATAAGAGGAATTGAGAGAGAGTTGATTGGAGTTAGGGAGTTGACAGGAGAAATTCGGAGTTGGTAGGAGGGAAATTAGAGAGATTTGGGAGGGGGTAAAATGAGTTAAGCAGGGGCTGATTGAAGGGAGTTGATAAGAGGGAGTTGTTAGGAGGAATTAAGAGGGAATTGGCAGGAAGGAGTTGTGAGTGTTTTGGAAGGATTTAATAGGAGGCATTTGATAGGGAGGTGTTAAGAAAAATATTTGAGGAAGTTGATAGGAGTTGTGAAGGATATTCAGAAACTTTCCGTATTTTGGAATTGTTGTATTCAACATGTTATGTTACTGTTTATCTACGTGTGTTTGTTGTCCGTTTGAGATCCCTTGTTTACAAGGAGATCTATTATGTGGTTGACTTATTTGATATATAACTTCTACACGGTTAACTTACCAGGGACATCGAGCTGGTATATACAATGAATGTGACGATGATATTATGTTATCTTGTTAGCCGATGTGATGGACATTGTTATGTGCATGTATTTGTTAACGGATGTGACGATAATTTAATGTTAACTTGTTAGCGGATGTGACGATAATTTAATGTTAACTTGTTAGCGGATGTGACGATAATTTGATGTCAACTTGTTAGCGGATGTGACGATATTATAAAGTTAACTTGTTAGCGGATGTGACATTAATTTGATGTTAACTTGTTAGCGGATGTGACGATATTGTAAAGTTAACTTGTTAGCGGATGTGACGATATTGTAAAGTTAACTGGTTAACGGATGTGGCGATATTGTAAATTTAACTTGTAAACGGTTTGATTACATTGTTATATTTGTAAACAAATTTGACAATGTTATGTTATTTTGTTAACAAATGTTACAATATTGTTATATTTACTTGTAAACGGATGTGACTACATTTGTTTGCTTGTTAACAGAATTTACTACATTGTTTTGCATACCTGTTTATAGATGTGACAATGTAATGTTTAGTTGCTAACAGATGTGACAATGTAATGTTTAGTTGTTAACAGATGTGACAATGTAATGTTTACTTGTTAGCAGATGTGACAATGTAATGTTTAGTTGTTAACAGATATGACAATGTAATGTTTAGTTGTTAACAGATATGACAATGTAATGTTTAGTTGTTAGCAGATGTGACAATGTAATGTTTACTTGTTAGCAGATGTGACAATGTAATGTTTACTTGTTAACAGATGTGACAATGTAATGTTTAGTTGTTAACAGATATGACAATGTAATGTTTAGTTGTTAGCAGATGTGACAATGTAATGTTTACTTGTTAACAGATGTGACAATGTAATGTTTACTTGTTAACAGATGTGACAATGTAATGTTTAGTTGTTAACAGATGTGACAATGTAATGTTTAGTTGTTAGCAGATGTGACAATGTAATGTTTACTTGTTAACAGATGTGACAATGTAATGTTTAGTTGTTAACAGATGTGACAATGTAATGTTTACTTGTTAACAGATGTGACAATGTAATGTTTAGTTGTTAGCAGATGTGACAATGTAATGTTTAGTTGTTAGCAGATGTGACAATGTAATGTTTACTTGTTAACAGATGTGACAATGTAATGTTTAGTTGTTAGCAGATGTGACAATGTAATGTTTAGTTGTTAGCAGATGTGACAATGTAATGTTTAGTTGTTAACAGATGTGACAATGTAATGTTTAGTTGTTAACAGATGTGACAATGTAATGTTTACTTGTTAACAGATGTGACAATGTAATGTTTAGTTGTTAACAGATGTGACAATGTAATGTTTACTTGTTAACAGATATGACAATGTAATGTTTAGTTGTTACCAGGTGTGACAATGTAATGTTTACGTGTAAACATATATGACAATGTAATGTTACTTGTATACAGATATGACAGTGTAATGTTTACTTGTTAACAGATATGACAATGTAATGTTTACTTGTTAACAGATATGACAATGTAATGTTACTTGTATACAGATATGACAATGTAATGTTACTTGTATACAGATGTGACAATGTAATGTTTACTTGTTAACAGATATGACAACATTGTAATGTTTACGTGTTAACAGATATGACAACATTGTAATGTTTACGTGTTAACAGATATGACAACATTGTAATGTTTACGTGTTAACAGATATGACAACATTGTAATGTTTACGTGTTAACAGATATGACAACATTGTAATGTTTACGTGTTAACAGATATGACAACATTGTAATGTTTACGTGTTAACAGATATGACAACATTGTAATGTTTACGTGTCAATATAAACTCAATGTCTATAATTTTGTTTTACATCAGTAACTTAATACTAACTTTTCTGTTTACAACAGTTTCAGCTTTTCCCAATTTGTTTACTAATATTACTTTACATGCGCAGTACTCTGTTTTTTCCGGAGGGCGTACATTAAATTAATTGAATATATATGTACTGATACGTGTGGGAATGTACAAGGTTTTGTATTGTGATGTAGTGTCTTTCTCTAGTATAAAATTTACATTGTCCTATTTTTACATTAATGTTTAGAACAACATGGTGCAACGATTAGTGCATAATAAATTGATGTTTGTATTTATTCTCAAAATATATGTTTACTAATTAAACAGAGAAATTTGATTGCTTGCATTATTTTATGATATGGTTTACAAATACATATACCAAATATTCCTCGAATTTTCAAGAAATAAAAGTAAGACCACGCTGTGCCGTTTGCTTATTTTTCTTCATACATTTTCAAGAATAAATTTCAACCTTTCAAAAACGTCAGTCCTCCGATGGAATACAAATCTTACACTGGGCCTTTTGTACTGAATATGGGACCTGTGACTACATCACTACAGATGTGATGATGTGAGTATAACCATCATTGAATATAGATATATATTTGACGTGAGAATAATAGAGAACAAATTAGACACTTGATTTCACATACAAAAAGGATATAAATATGATGTTTTATGACGCTACCTAAAAT